TATATATAATTGTTCCAAAGGTGCAAAAAGAGTTAGAATTTGTGAACTAAGAACATAAACACGGATAATATGGATTAACTATTCTTGATTAAAATGTAAAATTCAAACACCAAAATCTTATGATATAGTTATGAAGCAACATATTAAACACTAAACATTAAACATCCAAAACAACCAAAAATTTATATATAAGTATATAAGTTAAACATTAAACATTCCACACCCAAATTAATATGAATCTTAAGTTTTTAACCATATCCAAAATAACATTTTTTAAACACGAATTAACTATTCGGGAATATTAATTAGTTGTACAAGAACGAATAAGCTATCAATCAAGGGAAAAAATGTGACTTTTCAAATTCGGTTTGGTCCATTTTGCCCGAATAAGCTCTTATTCGGGTAACCCGAACCGAATAACCCGAAACCCGAATACGCCTAATATAGATATCCGAAAACCGAATCGAATTGCTTATTCAGGCCAAATTCGGTTCGATTCGGTTCGGTTTGGGTTTTCGGGCCAAATTCTCATCCCTACATACAGGCACATCAAATATCTCCCCACTTCTCCTTTCAAGTTCCATCTGAAATACCCACGAAACAATATCCCTACAATTCTTCCCCATACCAACTTCAACTTCAAACGGGTGTTTCTTGCGGTGAGATTGAACCGTTTAAGACTGCAAAATGAAATGGCTAAGTTTTTAGGGTTTTTATTATGTATTTATGTTTTTTAATTTCATGTTTTTTGTTTTCTAAGTTTTAATGGTTTTTATGTCATTTTTTTTAATGTAATGAAAGTCTTCTATTAAAGTTGAATTGCTTTAAAAAAAATATAAAAATAATAATTATGTATGCTATGGTGCTCGTTCCTTATTTGTGATAAGAAACCATAAATTTGTGGTGAGTTTGATGTGGCAATAAAATGACGCTTATGTGACAATTTGTTGTAAGTTTGATGTGGTAAGTATGGTATCGTCTTCTCGAGTAGTTATCAATAACCACAAATATGATGGGTGTCACATCACAGCCACCTCATCACTGCACACAACCACATTAGGTTAGTATACTCACCATTTTGCATCATTATACCTCTTTTATCTTTCTGTTATTTAAACAAAATAAGTATTTTTTTTTTAATTATTTAAAATACAAAGAAGTATATAGAGAGGTAGGGAGGCAAAGAATATGATCAGATATGGTTAATTGTGGTGTCAATCCACCACAATTAAACGAGATGGTGCTCGCATTCCCACCACCTTGCCATGTCAATCACGAATAATGTTCGTTGTAAATACTCCAGAAGCCCTAAGTGTGGTAGCACACCCTCCCCCTAAAAAGAAAATATGAAAAAAAAAAAAAAAAAAGATAGAACTAGACTCTTGGATTTGTAATAACGTCAAAGAATCACCCAAAATCGGTTTTTTTTAACTCAATACCCAAATGGGCCAAAGTTCTTGGGTTCCTTTACTATTTCCTAAAATCCATAAATTTCCCACCACCAATAAGGATGTTATACTTATACCTCCCTACTTGAGGTTGAGGGTTCAAGTACCGTCATGGACATAGGTGGATTTAAGGTGTAGTTTAGGAGTAGGTTAGATTTGCCGTTTCAAAAAAAAAAAAAAAAAAAAAAACTTATACCTATTCACATTAACACGACACTTATTATCAAGGATTAAATGCGACAAATAGTATTGTATTTTAATTTAGTTAATAATTGTATCATTTCATTTTTTTCTCCTATTATGATGTTATGATTTCAACTTTTTTCTTAACAAGATAATGTAATCCACACAATTAACCAATATTTTTAAGGGGCTAGGACCGGCCCATTTATAAGAAGGTACGTGGGTCTTTTTCGCATCTATTATAAATTTGGTACTTGAAAACTTTACACAGTTTGTAGTAAAAACACCACAAACACATATCACATGACATTGTACCTCTTTTTCTGTAAAAAATTCAATCTTACCACAACTTATTTTTTAATTATACCTTAAAAAAGAGGTAGATGTGAATGAGATCACCTTGTTTTGACCACAGTTTTGGATCTAACCTCCTTCAACTTCCCATCCCTTCGATAATCCCATTCCATAACAAGATTAATCCCTTATTCGGGATACTACACTACACCAACACACCATCCTCACTCAGAATCAACATAACATGTAACACCAAAGCGGTTAGGCAACCACAACACCGTAGTAATATTCATCATGTCCCCCGCCTCCTCCTCCCCAAAGTAGATTGTTATTTTCGACAAACTCCTATTCTTCAAAGTCTTCATACAAAGATAAACATATGTCGCTTCCTCCTGTAAAATGTAACTTGAGCATTTGGAATCAAAGTTGGAGCGTTTGGAATCACACCGGAGCATTTTGACATAAGGTGGAGCATTCTAGTAGAGCGCTCTGACAAAGCATTTTGACGAATCACTTTGGTAGAGTATTCTGATAGAGCATTGTGACGGTTTATCAAGCTTCTGAACCAAAGTGCTTTCGTTGGTGGCCAAAAAACTCTCCTGATGAGAAATCTCTTTTTAATGGTTAAATGCTCTCCTAGTGAGATAAATATCTCTTTGGTACAAAGGTGTTCTTCAAAGTTAGAGGTTGAAGATGCTAGTCCTTTATTTAGGACAGATCTCTATTGAATTGTACGTGTAATATATGTTTGAGAACTCTTGAATAGGAATACTCCCTTCTGCCCGTAGACATAAGTCACCTTGACATATCACATAAATATTGTGTCTTTGTGTGTGGTTTCATGAGTTATGTGCTTACTTTCTAACAAGTGGTATCAGATCTTGTCAAGTGGCATTAGATCTGTTTCGTATTTAACAAGTGACGTCTTATTCCTAAGAAATCTTCCTCATTATCCTCCATAAACATCACCTAACCATCTCAAGAGTATATTTATATGAACATTGCTAATTGTAAACTGTAATAACGTCGTCAGTTATTGTTCTCCTAGTATATAGGCATGAACATTGAACACTACTAATTAAGTAATTATAATAGCATACACGATTTAGATAAAAATCATTCCTTAAAAACTTAACAAAACCTTTCTAGAAAAAAAATATTAGTGATATAGAAGAATGTTCTAAACTTCTCTTTCGAAAAAAAGGAATGTTTACATAAAACATGAGCCTCCAGGGTGTTAGAGATTAATTAATGTAATAATATGACAATTACATGGTATCATTTTAATGATCATATTACTTGTATAATCTATGCATAGTTATTTCCTAACTACCTATGATATTGATATTAATATGATTTACATCAAATTAGTTAATTTCTGCTTTTCAGTTGTTTTACCAACCTCTACTCTACATCAAATTGTCGTAAATTGTTTCATCCTCGCTAAAATCAACCCGTCTAGTCATATATTCTTCAAATTACTTTGGGGATGTTTGTTTCTTCTTTCATTAGCAAAAAAATATATGTTCTTTTAGAATACAAAAAACCAGGGATTAGACAGCTAGGACCCAACTAGTTCATGACCAGAATCTCCTATTTTCAGATTGGTTCCCCCTAATCGACTAAACTAGTTCTCGATTCCACTGGTTTGGGCCATGTTTGGACTTACACACAATGTATAAGCATGTGGACCGCCATGATCGGACCGAAATGGAATCGATCCATGATCGGACCTAAATCAGTGACGGAGTCAGGGTCAAAGTTCATGGGTAGCACAAAAAAAATTGTAATATATCATAAGAAAAAAAATAAAGATCGCAATTTCATTACACATAACAAAGTGACAAAATAGACTATAGAATATATAGTATATTGTAAAGCTCACTTCACCATTTATTTTTCCAAAAGCGAGTAATTACATTTTCAGTTTTAACAAGTGTTTCATTTTCCAAACTACAAATCAAAGCATCATTCATAAAATCGACACCTATTCTATTATGCAAATCGGTCTTTAACAACTTCATTACAGAAAAACATTTTTCAATGGTTGCGGTTGCGACAGAAAAGACCAAAGTTAGTTTTAATAATCTATAAACCAAAAGAAAAGAGAAGTGTTTCCCTGTTTCCACCAACAAACGAGAGAGGTTCACAATTCCTTTCAAGTTGACAAATTTCTCATCATAAAGCAAAGAATTATAATAGATATCAAGCCCAATTTCGACTTCAAGTCTTTCTTTTTGCATCTCTTGTGTCATGTATATTCTCTTACAAGAACCACAAACCACGGTAACCATCAAAGTTGGTTGGTCAAAGAATTCTTCAACATTATCATGTTTCTTTGATACCACTAGAACCACTAACTAAATTTGGTGCGCAAAACAATATATATATATATATATATATATATATATATATATATATATATATATATATATATATATATATATATATGCGAAACTATTTTCTCTTAATACCAAAGATTTCAAACTGTTGAATGCACCACTCTTATTAATTGTCGCATGGTAACCTTGGCCGCTCACCTATTTATTTCAAAAAAATCAATAAAAGATATAAGACATAAAAAAAAAAGCAATATCCTAATAGAGAAATAAATATTTTATGAATTCTCACCTAAGCCATACTCAAGTTGTTGGCCTATCCTTCGGGTCCGAAGGAAGATCATTCAAATCAAAAGTTGTGGCTCTTGTGGTTTTGGAGTATATTCATTAGGTTGTGGTTCTTATGGTTTTGGAGTAGGTTCATTAGATTGCGAAACTTGTATACTTTCATTAGGCTTATTTCTTTTGGAAGTTCCTCCACCATTGTCATCTCCGATATCTAATTGGTTTTTATAAAATTTGTTAATAGAACCCTACAATCAAAATATTTCAAACTATAAAGTTGATTTCACGTTTAACCAATAAATAATCATTAACTATAAACCCTAAGTCCCTAATTAAATAAATCTTATTGAGTTATTGCTAATTTCTATTCTTTCAGTATATTCAGCTTTGGAAGGATCTAATCTGTTAATTTGTCTAATTGTGAGTTTAATGTGTTCATTTAATCAAACTTCATGTGTTAACTGTGCTGATTTAACAAACATGACCCATTTACAAAAAAAAATACCCTTTGGACTCCTCATTAGACTCTATTGCTTTATCAACAAGACAAGTTATAGTAAAAACTTTCTTTTATAGTAAAAACCTTCTATTGCTTTATACAAGTTATAGTAAAAACACCACATTACACATGACTTTCCACCTCTTTTTTTTCTATAAAATTCTGAATCTTTTTTTCCACAGCTTAAAAAGGAGGTGAATCAGTCCACCTTCTCTTAACTTCAGTTTTGGATCTAACCTCCTTCAACTTCCCATCCCTTCCATAATCCCTTTCCATAACAAGATTAATCCCTTCATCAGAATACCACCCAACACCAATACACAACACACCATCCTTACTTACATCAACATAACCCGTAACACCGCCAGGCAACCATAACACCGTAACATCCACCATGTCCGCCACCTCCTCCTCCCCAAAGTAAATTGCCATTTCCGGCAAACTCCTCTTCTTCAAAGTCTCCGTACAAAGATAAACATACGGCGGGTCCTCCTCGTTATCATCCATAACCGCCGCCTCCCCGCCATAAATCGGTGTGGCACTCGTCTCAAACACCTTCCATGATCCGCTCAATTCCGATGGTTGCACTCTTTTTCTTTGAGAAAATGGCTTCACGTCAAAATCCACGTCACTGTATTTATCAAAAAACATTCTACAAATTTATATCTGACACTAACACTGACACTGACACTGACAGTAGAATGGAGGTTACCTTTTGTCAGAAAGATGAGCGGTACCGACCCATTGCTCTTCGTAAACAGCTACCCTCATGATTTGAATATCCGAGCCACCATCACTGAATTCTATAGTGTGGACAATACGTAGTCTTTTGTGACACCCTTTAACTAAACACTAATTGATGAAAGATAAGATTTTAGTTTGAATTAGGGTTTAAGAACATGATGAAACCACAAAGTAAAAAAAGAACTTACTTGCTCAAATTTGAAAGTTGGGGATAGGAAGTAATTGGAATCATCAACTTCTCCAACAGGTATGTCAACTGGACCCCTTGAATATGAGCCATCCTTTCATGGAATATAGTTATAATAAATCAATAGAAGTTTTTTTTTTGAGTAAGTGAAAGGCATGTGTGAAAGAAGATGTAATACAAGTTTTTACCTCGAAAAAGACAAGACCAGGCTCCATACCCATGAGATCTTCTTCCATTACATCACTTGTTTCAAAGTTAAAAGACTCGAATTTTGGGATTACATGGTTTGTTTTCCTTCCATCAAACGCTTCTATGGTGGATAAAGATGCGTCCTCTTTGTTTTTGTTCACAGGTCTGTTTTCACCATGAGGGTTTAAAGTCACCCAATTTACAGTTCTTTGAATGTGAGATTCATGTGTTCCGTTTGTTGATGGTACTGCTTCGATCCGAGAAAGAGTGTAGCAGTCAAATTGATGTTCGTTGTTTCTTCCAACATCAATGGGCTCCATTTTAGCAGTGATAGGTGAGAACACTGCTCCTGTTCCCTTCCATATGCCACTAACACTGCTTGCAAATGTGTTCCATTTTGGCATAATCACAGGTTCCTGAAAGATCAACATCATATTATACATATAATCAATTAGATGTAAAAATGAAGCCACAGAGTAGTCGAGAAGGCATGAACCTAGCAAGTGATTTGACACTAAACAACCTTCATATGTTCAGCGAACTGGACAAGTTTCAACTTAGATTTAACTAAACTTCTACTAGACTATTTCAGATCGAAATCATAATCTTCAACAGAAACAAGTTTAAACATGAAATTCAGTATCAGATGGAATAGAAGGAACGAAATCGAGACAGTCATACCTGAGTTTGTAAAACCTTCTCCGTCTCTATTAACATCGAACCAGAAACCATTATTCCTTCATCGCTCTCACTAGCTATCCGTCTCTTCGTCGTCGAATTCCTTGTTTTTGTCCTCCTCCTGTCGCCTTTCTTCCGCCTATCTCCTCCTCGACTCTCATTAGCCGCATCATTATCGATACTCCAAACATTATCCTTCCCCTTTCCTTTCGGTGCCTTCACTCTCGCTATTCGGCGATTGTTAGGGTTTAAGCTGCTGCACCAAATACGCGAATATGGCTGTCGGAGAGTGGTTAAATTAAGAGATGAAGATGGACTAAATCGTAGAAACTGTGTGCTTGAATTACTCCAAAAGGTTCTTGTAGCGTCCATCAATGGCGATTGCATTCTTTCTCTTCTTCTTCCTCACTTCCGTAAATTCGAATCAACGGTATGTCAAAAGGATATTGTTTAAAGTTTTTGCTAATTTACGCGAATAACAATGAACTTGTTATATTGACAGTTTAGCCACAAAACCTTTATTCTATCGATCTTAACCCCTATACTTTTTAATCGAGCCTCTCTACTTTTACTTTTCTCCTTCAACCCCTACAAAAATAAGTTTCTATATATTTTATATTTTTATTTAAACCATATTGTTTTTCAATTTCAGTAAATATAAATTAAAAGTCTAATGATTAATTATGTAATATAATTAATGGTAGTCTATAATAAAAAGTCACTCTCTTTAAGCAGAAACATAAATACAAATCATTTACAAAGAAAATAAGTTTAAAAATTTTGTGTTGGTTTGAGGGTTTTGGATGATTTTTTGAGTCATGTTATTATGTTAAAGTTTTTATTTTTATAAGTTTATTATATACTAATTATTTTTTATATTTTATTTGGTTTAACTATTTTTTTAAAACAATCATCGTATGTTGTGGTTGAAACTTTAATATAAATTAAATTATATTCATGTTATCTATCATATGTTATGGAATGTGATATATACAATATTTAATTAAATATTATATATATGTTTGTATATTTGTGTTGCTTCAAAGCAATAATTAATTAAAAATCATTGATATATTATATTAACCATTTTATCCATGGAAGTCTCTTTTAAAATACAAATATTCTATCTTATCACTTTATATTTTAGTACATGTTTAAAATTTTAGGTATAATAATAAATGTCTTTTAAAATTTTTCTTTCATTTATTAATAATAATAAGCGGTTTTAAAATTAATGAACAATAATTATAAAAAATAAAATCAAATTATAAAAATCATGGATATATCATATTATCCATGCAAGTCTCTTTTGAAATGTGAATTGTCTATCTTCTCACTTTATTATTTAGTATATGTTTCACATTTTAATAATAATATTACGTGTTTCTTAAGAGTCCTCTTGTAACGCCCTATTTCGAGTCGTTTCATAATTCGGGGGCGTAACCCGAAGATCAATTATGATAAGGCTTCGGTCGTTGAGGAAAGCGAGGTTTAAACCTATTTTGATGTGGGTAATGTAGATTTTGTGATCTAATAGTTTGGTTTGTGCTTTGGAGCCCAAGGATATATTGGTAAAGCGATGGTTCGGACCTTTTATTGAATTAAGGATTTTAGTTCGAGGTGTTTTAAGTCAAAAGGATTGTAGAGCTCCACAATACTTTTCTGTGGATATAAGGATCATCGAAAACGGAGTTGGAACAAAGAAGTTATAATTGTTTGAAGTTATAAGGGTTTTGGGCTAAGTTGAGTACGCTAGACGTACAGGGTGTACGAACTGGGACGATCGCGGAGTGCCTTTGAGTGGGTTAGGCGTACCTAGAGTACGTTGGGCATACTCCACGCAAATACAAGCCATAATTTAGGGTCTTGTACTCTATTTAAAGGTCTTAACTCATTTCCAACCATTCTTATCTTCAGACTCCATCCCCTTTAACTCTAAATTCAAAAGGTTTAGCCCTCGTTTAGAAAGATTTTGAGAATTGGAATGATTTTGGTGGATTTTTGGTGCCTTTGGAAGAAGAAGAACACATTGGAGAAGTGTTGTCTTAGAGTTTGGAGATACATGCCATTTTTATCTTGATCTAGCTTCGGGAGCTATAAAGTTTTAATCTTGATGGATTTCTCATGTAGATCTATTTTGGGTCATAATTTGTCATGTTTTGGTCCTATGGTTGTAGTTCTTGTGAGATGATGCTACTTCATAACCATTAAGCCTTATATTTGGTCTTTGTTGAAGTCATTAAGTCATAAAAATTAGATCTTATTAAGTATTATCCTTTCATGCTAGAACTATTGACCTTTTGATGAAGTTACGATGTTTGAGTTTTGGTTTTGACCCCATTAAGCCATTGCAACACCCCATTTTTCGATATTAGTTTTTCTAATAATAATAATAATAATAATAATAATAATAATAATAACAACATCCCGAATTCAGGTGTGTCTCTTAAACCCTTCTCCTTTTCTCGAGTTGTCAAGTTAAGCCCCTTAAATGAAGCTTGTGAGTACGTTGGGCGTACTAAAGAGTACGATGCGCGTACTCGCACGCTTAATTTGGACGCGGACTCGCCTGGTTACGGTGGACGTACCCAGGGTTATGCTGGGCGTAACGAGCCCAGGTGTAAACCCGAATTTGGGGCTTATGCACTATTAAAGGAATGTTATGGCCTTGACCTCAGGCCCCATTTCAGATAGTGAAACCCTAATAGAGAGTCCTCTTTCGTTTCTAGATAGTGTGTTGGTGTTCTAAGCTTCAAAGTGTCATTTCAAGGTGGTGGAAGAGAAGAAGAGGCCATTTTGGAGGCTAGGAGTTATGGGCAAGAGTAGATCCGAGCTTTTTAGAGGTTGGAGCTTCTTCCTGAGGTAAAAAGCTCAAATATTGACTTGTCATTTGTGTGGTGTGCTTCTTGGACCAATTTCTAGGGTTTTTAGTCCCAAGATGGAAACTTTATGAGCAACTGGTCTCCATTGGCCTAGCTCTATCATATTTCAGGACTATAAGAGTTGTATGTTCATAAAATTGCAATATTGGACATGGATATTGAGCCATGCATGAGATCTAGACCTTTTGAGGAGGAAAGAAAAGTGTTAGAGGGTGTAGGGACCTTTACAGCCATGCAAACGCTTAAAGGTTCCGACTTTACGGGATAAGAGGTATAGAAAGAGTCAGATCTGGAAGTTGAATAAGTGTATTAACCGTTGAGACCCCGTTTGTGACTCGCCGGCGTACGCCCCGCTTAATGCCTTATGTTAACTTCCGTTGACTTTTAGGGTTTTGGTCAACCCTTGGACTTTTAGGGTCAGGGAGGGGTAAAATGGTCTTTTACCCTTCTGTGGAATTGTAGAGTGGATTTAATCTAGACTTTGAGAGCCATTATTTATTTGAGAGTGTTGTTATGTGTTTAGGAGGGGGCTTAATCAGTATGTTCGAGTGCGAGATTATCCGAGATACCCGATGTGAGTCTTCTCACTATACTTTACCTAGAATGGTAATTAGAGTTATATGACAGAGTATCTTGTATGTTATTTATGTGATTGTGATGCACAACATTATTTCTATGTGATTTATGTTGTGTATGTTCCAGAGTTTACAGAGTTAGAACCGGAAGGTTCACAGAGTTAGGACCAGAGGGTCCACATAGTTATAGCCTCGAGTAGATAATATGTGTTATATGTGGTATTTTGGGGAACCCACTAAGCATTTATGTTGACAGTGTTGTGTTATGTGTTTCAGGTACCAGTGAGGATCGCGGGAAGGCGCTGGCATGATCAGTACACACATGAGGAGTTTTTATGCATTATGATCTTGGGTTTTGTTTCTATGGTTGATATGTGATACAATGACATTTTTATAACATTTATGAATGAAAGTATGTTTTTTTGAAAATATAAAAATTGTTTGAAAAATTTAGGTGTTACAAATAATAATAATAATAATTGATTAAGTTATTTTATAATGCAAAAAGGAGAGATTATGAGTTTTGGGGTGGAAAGTGTCAAATATTGAAACTTGTTTTGTAAAAGAATGGGAGTAAAGGGCTAGTTTTGTAATTACGGAAAAATTAGGCATGAATGGCCTGTTTTACTAAAGGTATCGGTCCATCCCTCCCTTTGGCAGCCTACTCACTTATTTTGTACTCATTATATCAAGTTGAAGTGCAACCCTAATATCTATCGGTGAAACGTGTGCGTGTGTGTGCGCGTGTGTTTGCTTAAAACCCAGAAAGAAAAAGAAGCGGGAAAAAGGAAGAAGGGAGGGTGATATCGGTTTTGCTGATAAGATGGAGGAGAGAGGTCATTTTCCAGGTTCTAGAGGAAGAAGAGAAGGGTGTTTTCATGGTGGAAGATCAAGCACTATTTTGAACACTTCTTTTCTCCTCCTTTTTCTAACATCACCACCACCACCATTGGTGGTGGCAACCACCATCGACCACCATTGCCATAGTGGCAGTAGGTGGTGGTTCTCAATGTTTTCTGGGAGTCAAGGGGCATTTGGGGCTGTTATGGTGTGCAAAACCCTAACCCTGGTTGTCAAATCCTAACTTTGGAAATCAACTTTGTCTCTCGTAAAAAGCTATGAATTTTGAAGTGTTGGGATTGGAATTTTTGTTTTAATTTTGACTTAATGAGCTATCAATTATGTAAAGAACTTATTTCCAGAAAATAAGCCATTTTGGATTGGGTCTTAATGGGTTAAGAAGCTAATTAACCCTAAAAAATCAAAGTTGTGATTTCAGGATTTTTCCTTAATCTTCCCCTGTCTTTGAAAGATCATATCTCTGTCATGAAAAACTCTTTTTGGTTGAAACCAATGCACAAAGTTTCATAATTGAGTCCTCTATACTTCATTAGTTTTGACTTAAATCCATAAATGACTCTAGCTAGGGTAACAACGACTATTTACCCAGACCGGTCCAGATTGAACTGTTATGAGATGCACTTCTATAAAACTCACCATAAATCATAGAAAAATCTTTGGGAGGTGTGAAAATACTACTTTTAAAGATAAGAACTAGATCTATCTGTATGGGATGCAATTTTTAAAATTATAGAGTATAATTTTGGGAAAAACATGTGTTAGAAATTCGGGGTAATAAAGGCACTTGGATATTCTGAGAATTGTGATTCCACTTTCAAATCAAAGTATTTGGGTGGTACTCCCTAATATTTGATTGGATAATACTTAGAAGAGAAAATAATAGATAATGACATGTATGAATTTCATGAGTACTAGAAAACTGACCAGAAATTGGTTAAAAACCTCATTTTTCTGAAAACTGTCAAAACTGTCATAAAACAGTTTTTTCAACAGTCAAAACTGTCATAAAATATAAGTTTTCTATAAGGATTAATGCAAAGCCAAAAACAGGTTAAATATTCAAAATTTGGATTTTCTTATGCATTTTTAATACAACTCGACCCCAGCCAGGGGCTCTGCCCCTTGGACCCCGCTCCCAGGGGTGCTGCCTTCAGACCCCCGTT